AGAAAGAAAAGGGCGGAAGGGAGGTGGAATGGGAAAGAGGGAGAAACTGAGAGAATAAGGGTAGAGAAATCTCAAGTCCGCGAGGGGCCAACTGTGGTAAGGTAAAAGCGCGAAGGCATTATCGAAGTTCGTTGGAGGAGTTTCCTCTTAACGAGGCGTTCCTCCTACTCGCGTAATTAAATTCCATCCCTCTGGCAGGCATTGAGCGTGCAAGCAAGCAAGCAAACAACCAAGCAGCCACCCACTACCACCACCACCACTACCACCATCAACCAGTCTTCGTATGCCGTCCATTTACGTTAGAAGAAGAAAAAGACTTTTTCGACGACGTCTAGCTATTTTCCACCCACTCCTTCACTCTTTCTCTCTCTCTCTCTCTCTCTCTCTCTCTCTCTCTCTCTCTCTTTTGCCCTCTACGAATCGACCGCATTCTTCGGAAAGTATCAATATCTTTTCCTTGCTAGAAAAATGTCAGGTCAGCTCTCTGGAGAGTGAAGAAGAGAGAGAAGGAAAGAAAGAAAGAGAGAGAGAGAGAGAGAGAGAGAAAGAGAAAGGGATAAGGATGAAGCAAAAAGAAAGGTGTTATTCTTTCGGGAGACCTCATTTTCTTTCCCTTTTTCCTAAGCCCTTTTTTATTTCTTCATGTGAAAACGTTTTACTCAGCTACTATTCACTGGTCCTTTATTTGATACCTAACTTTAAAACACACACACGTAAAAATATACATTTGTGTCTCACGCGCAGGTGTGTATGCGAGAAAAAATAAGAAATAAATAAAAAAAAAACGAATGATGAGAACGAAGAAGAAGAAATAGAAAAAACAAAGAATAGAAAGAAGTAGAAGGAACAAAAAGTAGAGGAATAACAGAGAAAAGACAACATGTATTGCTATGGGGTTGGCGCCAGGCATTGATTAATGGACTCCCCTTCTTGCTTCAGAATGCGTTTCGATGACAGCGAAAAAAATTACTCAACTGCAGCAACGGGACAAGGGCATAAACAACAACAGAGGCAACGACAACGACGTCGTCGAGGAACGAACGTTACGAAAACGAAGACGAAGACGAAGACGAAGACGATGAGAACGAAGAGGACAAAAGCATGCTCGATTAATCGAAGTCGTTACACGTGCCCCCATGATCGTTCAGGGTCCTCCGTGTCGTTGTTGTTTAATCGCGTACGAAGGACAACGTTGGTGGTTGATTAAGAACTCGTTGAATCGATACCGATGCTCGTTTATCACGAGATCCTCTACTATGTGTGTATCTTATTCACGTGTGTTGTGTTTTAAAATAAATGTTTAGGTTTAGGTATAGAAAACGATATTGGACAAAAAATTGGTTTGGGAATTACAAAAAAAAAAAAAAGAAAAAGATAAAGAATATTATGTTAGACTAAATGAGTGCAATGACGTTGATATTTATACAGAGATATTTTACTGATTTATTTAATATTGATGGAATGAAAACTATGTTTCATACAAAAGAAAATAAATGAATGAGGTAAGTAATTGAAATCCGTAAAATTGTTCACTTTGTTTCATATTTATTTCATGAATAATAATTTTGTGAAAATTTAATTTTTTTCCTGCTTTTTTCCTTTTTCTTTTTGCGAATTTATTATTTTAATAATTTTGTTATTCGTCAACATAAAAATGGGATAATTTATTCGATAAGACGAGTAATATTATTATTGCTATTATTATTATTATTCATTTTATTATTATTATTATTTTTATCACCGTCATCATATCGTAGCCCATTTTTAATTTAGTAGCATCGTTAAAAACTCGCTTGATTTTTATCTCCGATTTTACCTACATCACATTCCTTTATAAAGATCTACTTATGAGTTCTCTTTGTTGGTTATTTAAAAAATACAATTAATGACAACTGAAAGCAGTCGACCGCAGAAAACTCGCCTTTTATATTGGACGATAAACGAATCGTCAAAATGAAACGAGTTCGATTTTACGATGAGTATTTCCTGCATTTGCTTATTTTGTTTCAATAGCGAACTACATACATATACATACAAATACTTATATACATAGATGCATACGTATATGTTTACGTGCACACATATCGATTACGTTTTACTATCCGTGAAAGTATCAACTTGTTGAGGTAAATACAATCATGATTTCAATGTTCTCTGAGGTAATAAACTGTACATACTTGTATGCATTCTCTCGCAGATCATTGATATCGAGGAATTTACGAACTAATATATACAACTATAAATATATTGAGTCAAATGTAATGTACGTTTGTTTCGAGTTTAAATTTCGGTTCAATCAGTTCAACGGCTCAATTTTTTTCACGAATTCGAATTTATTCGAATATTGGATTACCATTAATTGCAAATTTTTTGTTAATTGATATTTCTAATATACGAGTATGGATTGAACAGTTTTAAGACTACAACGAAAATTAAAAGCAAGTTTGATTGACAAAAAATGCTTTTTATTTTAGGCTTAAGACTTTTCATTCTACCACTCACTTACGTATAATAATTTTTCTGAAAAATGGCATAAACTTACCGGCCAACTAAATGCTTATAACATTCAATTGCTTGAAAATTTTATGCGCGTTGTTGAGAAATATCCTATTCAAATTTGCAAATATAATGTGATTAAAAATATTTATTAATTTATTTTTATATATACGAAGAATCCTTAAAAATATCCATTGTGTTTCAAATACTTTAACATAAATCGAAAAATTGAATGAAAATTTTGTTTTCCCACTTTTTCATTCTTTCTTACTTTCTCTTTCTCTCTTTAGAACTGAACGTACAGCCGAAATTTCAAATAATAATATTAAAGTACATTAACTTGGCTATCACAAGCCGCAAATTGAAGTTGATAATTAATGACGAGTCGCATCTAACTATGTATTATGAGTTTCATTATGGAACTAATTAACGTTAACTAACGCCGACTCGTGCATATTAAATTGCGAAACTTTACTGTTGTCTATGCAAAATGCAACGCATAACGCATTTTTAGTACCGTTCAACTTTTCGAGAAGAGACGATCTTCTTTAATTTAATCAACCAACCTAAAGCCATACCAAACGACTTCTTGGGTGATGATAATTAATGAACGTAACTTGCCGATTCTAATTTTATTTCACATTTATGAAATTATCTGTATGAAAATATTTTTTATATAATGTATATATATTAGGGTGGGTCAAAAAAATGACTTATTTTTTTTTTCAAGTGCCACGGAAAAATGGGTTGCTAGACACCTTAAAACAATTCTCACCAAATATGAGCTTTTAATTTTAATAGAAAGATCCTCCGCATCGCAGTTTTTTATTTTTTT